GAATCAATTAACTCAGGGAGGGCGGCAATTTGTGCCTCTAGCCTGCCTCTTGCCCCGCTCCCTCCAACAGTACTCACTCAGGCACACACGTTCGCCCGGCTCCCCTCCCCTGTCTCTGAGGCTGATCCTCCAGACACACTGGAACAGACGCACTGCCTGGGCTCCCAGGGAAGAGGCTGATTTATTTATGTATTTAATTTTTCTGCACGGGGGGGCACAGAAAAATGCAGACCAAATGAATTATGTGCCCCTGCAGGAGCGCAGAATCCCCCCAGGAGTAACAGTGGCATGGTGTCACTGAAAACATCCGCTTTTTCTGACTGCCGCTGCAAATCGAGCAAACAGACTGTTAGGAACCATTAGGAAAGGGATGGAGAACAAGACAGAAAATATCATAATGCCTCTCTATAAATTTGTGGTACGCCCATCTCTTGAATACTGCGTGCAGGTCTGGTTGCCCCAGCTCAAAAAAGATATACTGGAATTGGAAAACGTACAGATAAGGGCAATAGAAATGATATGGGGCATGGAACAGCTTCCATATGAGGTGAGATTAAAAAGACTGGGACTTTTCAGCTTGGAAAAGAGATGAGTAAATTGAAGTCTGTAAAATCATGACTGGTGAGCAGAAAGTAAATAAGGAAAGTGTTGTTTACGCCTCAAAACACAAGAACTAGGCGTCACTCAATGAAATTAATAGGCAGCAGGTCTAAAACAAACAAAAGGAAGTATTTTTTCACACAACACCCAGTCAACCTGTGAAACTCCTGGCCGGAGGATGTTGTGAAGGCCAAGACACTAACAGGGTTCAAAAAAGAACTAGATAAGTTCATGGAGGATAGGTCCATCGATGGCTATTAGCCAGGATGAGCAGGGATGCAACACCGTGCTCGGAGTATCCGTGGTCTCTGTTTGCCAGAACGTGGGAGTGGATGACAGGGGGTGGCTCACGTGATGATTACCTGTTCTGTTCATTCCCTCTGAAGCACAAAGTAGCCCGCACATATGGGCCCGTTGCAGTAGACTTACAGCTGCTTTGTTTGACCGGAGCAGGGCAAAATAGCCTTTCCAGATTCTTCCCCTTCACCCACCCTGTCTGTCCTCAAAATTCCCCCTGCTTCTGGTACCACCCTACCGGTTACCCTGTGTGCTCAGATACACCGGTTCCCCTTCCCTTGTGGCCTACCTGTTGAGTAGATCTGTCTGAATGGGTGGCGTCTGCAAAGACATTCAGGATTAATGGCTATTTTTCATAACAAACTTTGTCAGAAAGAATAGCCCCCTTTCAAAATGGCCTCCATATTGCATTGTTCTTGATGGGTCTGAAGCCACAGGATCCCTCAGGGAAGCTAGTGGGTCCCTGCACTTTGAGGAAGTAAAGAGAGAGAGATGCCCTTCTCAAAATGGCCACCAAGTGAGGACAGGTATGGCTTCTGTCCCATTGAGGAGGAGAGGACACCATTTTGAAAGACGGCAGCTCTGTCTGGCATTCTCTGTAACAGACCATTGTATCTGAATCTGTTCTGCTGAAGGAGAACCTTTCTGTTATGAAGAATAGCTTGGCGGAGAGGTGGGAACTACCATTAGTCCAAAACAATGCAGCCCCCGCACAAGAGTTGAGTGGGTTTTAACTCTATGGGAAGTGCTGTTACTGAGAGTGGGGGGTGACAATTGTAGATCTTGCGATTGCTCCTTTATGGTTTTCATTTTCAGTCTCCAAAACTGAAGACCATGGGCAATATCTTTGTGCATGAGGTTAGAGGGCCAGGGAAGAGAGGGGATGCATCGGGTGCCCATAATTATCACGGATTCTTTATTTTTGCATGGCGCTCAGCATAACGTGTTTCTTAATGGGCAAAGGATCTCTTAAATAAGTCGCTCGACTATTAAAAGGTTAGACGAGGAGGGTGAGGTAATATCTTTGACTGGACTGACTTCTGTTGGTGAAAGAGACAGGCTTTCCAGCCACACCGGACACTCTTCTTCAGGTCTGGGAAAGGTTCTCCGGGCTAAGGTGGAACAAATTGTTTAGCATCAGTAATTAGCACATATTCTAAGGGACCATTCAAGGTAGAATGGCCGGTTAACACCTCTGCAGTCATAGGGCAAAAAGAGGGGATTAGGGGGTTACCCACTGTTGTAAAAAGCTACAAATGCAGTGTCTGTGTTCAGTCTGTGATTTCTAGTGTCTAGCAGAGGAATGAATTTAAGCTCCCAAACTCGTCTTTTGAAGGTATTATGCAGGGATCAGTCGGATTCAGAGGCTCGCGTTGTGACAGGTGCTCCCGCACAGGCGATGGGGTGTGTTTAATTACTGGTTATTAAAAAAATCATGAGAGCCTCAAGGTGTGTCTGGGGCTGGGCACTTCTTGGGACCTGCGAACAGTCTCGCTGCTGGCCAATTGGCTCCTCTCCCTTGGGCTCCCTTCTTGTCATGTTTAGATCTGCTGCCCTTTTAGGGTGTGTTTTCCGGAGTGCTCGCGGGGATTGGCTGGAATGGGAAGTGCCACCTGCCGCGGGAGAGTGAAGTGAAGGCGCGTGCTGGGGGTTGCGCAAACTGCTAGGCTCTGACTCTTGGCTTCATGTTGCAGCTTGTGTCTGTAGGAGAAGAGAGGGGAGCCGACTCGAGCGTTTGCTGAAGAAACAGCCCTGAGCAGAGCCCTGGGATTCTCTGTCCCTGGGTCTAGGGGACCCAATCCTGCCCTGCTCAGGTTCAGGGTACTGCTGGGGCAGGAAGACGCAGTGCACGGAGTGAGGGATCTCTGATACTAGGTGAGGATGGGGGATCCTGCATTGATCAGGGTGGGGAGGGGGAGCATGGAGCAAGGGGGGGTGGCTGCACTGATTTGGAGGGTGGGGAGGAAGGGATTTCAGCTAAACCCTGGAGAGTGGAGCAGGGCTCGGGTGGGGGGGATATTGGGGAGGGGGTTACACTGGTGGAGCTAAGACAGGTATGTTTCTCCACTGATCAGATGGGGGACTGGGACTGTTGTTGAGGGGGTTGGGTGGGGCTGCATGCTGATCAGATGGGGGAGGGGGATTGAGTTGGGGGCTGTGCTGAGTAATTTATTTGTTTGAACTGTGAAAACCCCACCACCACCACCAGAATCTCAGTTTGCTCCTGGCTAGGGCGGGAAACAGCCTGGAGGTGTCTGTCCCGTCCAGGGCAGTTCTCCTGGACATGGCAGGGGCTAAGTAGCCCGTCCTGCTGCTCTAGTTCAAGAGCACGGTTCAGCCCCCAGAAATACGGGGACGTTCCCAGCTCTCTAACAGCCCCTAGTTGAAAACAGGAGGTTAAACGGCAAGGGCTGAAGCTGCCTCCTCCCACAAGAACTCAGCAGCTGGGGGGCAAATGATAGACCGTGAAGCAGCTATTACAATATGACCTATTCCCCTAATAGGTAGGCTTGGAAGGATTCGATTTTGATAGTAAAATGTCAGTATTCATTTAACGGCACACAGACACGCTGACGGAAAATATCTCCGGTGGTGGTGATTTGACATGTGCAGCCTGGCAAAGGAAGAGAACTTTTAAAATATCAACATCTGTTGTCTTGACATATTGTCTGCCCCCCACCCACACACCCACCCACTTTCTTCACAGCTGGGAACATTCAAAGTGATAAACATATTAAAAAATTAGAACTAAACCAGTGTTCTCCATTGAAATTACAAATATTGAATTCTGCCAAACCTAATAAGCAAAAGCTTCCTGTCGACCTTACACTGGAACAGTGCCAAGCGTTACCAATGCTTTCAACACAGAAGAATGACCACAGTAGTAGATTTTTAGAAAGGGGTGAGTGTGTGCTGCTTACCTTCACCGAGAAAAGAGAATGGGGGTGGGGGAGGGGGGTTGCTTTTTGTTGTTTTTCCAGATCTAGCCCCAATCTCTCAACTATGACTACAAACTTGTACGAAGGAGAATCTGTTTAACTGCTGGACCAAAAATGCCTTATGACGATGAGATTCAACTGAGTGCATGGAGGTCTCAAAAATAGTGTATATTTTAGTGAGTTTCATGTACAAGATTCTCAGGCAGACACTAACTTCTGGCTCTTCGGTTGCTAGCTATCACAGAACAGTGTATCATCAATGCACGTCCTTTTCAGATGCCGTCGGTTGTTCTTTGGTTCCCTCCTTGGCTGGAGGCTGTGTAGGGTTACATTTACATTTTTGTTCTAAACAGGCTTAATAATACAGTCTTGGAAAGAAATCTGATAGAAGGAACTGCATGACTGCCCATGCAGAAGGAAACCCGCAACAGGAAGTTTATATGTGATGTGACCAAACTCTCATGGTGTGACAGTAATAATAATATAATATATGGAGATATACCGATCTCATAGAACTGGAAGGGACCTTGAAAGGTCATCAAGTGCAGTCACCTGCCTTTACTAGCAGGACCAATTTTTTTTTGTCCCAGATCCCCAAATGGCCTCCTCAAGTATTGAACTCACAACCTGGGTTTAGCGGGCCAATGCTCAAACCACTGAGCTATCCCTCCCCCAAGAGTAATGGCTTCCTGTGAATGGAGACTTCCAGATCTGTTACCTGCTACTGATCTGATTTAGAGTTTCTGAGCCAAAAGCAGGAGCCAGTTGAGTCTAGATGTTGGATACGGGGTTTGAAATGTTCTTGCCCAGCAATGTCAGATTAAAAACTCTCTTGTTGTCCTGGTAGGAACTTCACTTGTTAGGAGCAGCAGGGTGAGGGGCCGAATGATGGTGGATTCCAGGGGGTGGGGAGAGACTGCATCAATAAACTATCATTTTCCTTTAGGCGAAGTCTTGAATTTGGGACCAAAAGCCGGCCAGATCCATGTGCCAAATGCGTGACTGTTTGTGGTGCCATTGGGCTGTTCTGGCAGGATCTGGGTTCTGCTGGGGGATTAGGATCAGGTCTGCGGTCTCTCAACTTGTGCAGTAGAATTCAGAAGCCAAAAACTAACTGGGTGTCGTGGTGCTTATGTTCTTGGCCCGAACAGGGAATGACAAGAACTGACCCCGCTGTGCCCTGAACTCTTCTGAGTGTTACAGCTTAGCTTCTGTGCAGAACTGAAAGCCGCAGAGGGAGAGGAATCGGAGTGACTCTCGCTACAGCCGGAGAGGAGCGGATCAGAGGTGCTCAGAGCAACCTGTGTGCGCCAGCGGAGAGATGGGGAAAACAGCAGATTCAACTGAACAGAGGCTGCAAGGAGAGGTGCTCCCCATTACAAATGGGGACCCTGAGACAGGAGGGGAAATGGAAACTCAGCAAGAACAATTATTAATGGAATTGCCGAGTAGCAATGGAGATGCAAGGAGAGGACAGGACCCAGGTAATCACAGCTTCATGGTCAGGGAATGGGCTGTGGGGAGACGCATGCTGGCTTTGCAATTTCCCCTTCCACTGAGGGTTCGTCTCCTTGCATTTGTCCAGGTAGCAAGGCCCTGACTGCCCCAGTGGGCTCCTGTCGGCAGTTACCCAGCCTGCACCTGTAACCGCCCTTTTCTGTGTGCAGCGGGGGGTTGTGGATGAACAGTTCTGGGTGGGCATGTGTCACTCCTGTCTAGAGAGCAAAAGGCAATGAAATGCTATGAACGAACCCAGGACACAGTGGGGTGCCAAATACCCATGTGTACTAGCTACACACGGACACCCCAGGCCCAGCTACATGCGCACTGCTGCTCGGGCTGGCTTCTCAAACCTAAAACACAGTGAGCGCCGCTGGAGGGCTCACCAGCTATTTAAAGGGGCGCTAGCCCTATTCCTACACACTATAGGGTCTGCATCTAAAACACTTGGTCCCTGTCCTGTGTTCATTCCATTCCTTCTCCCCTCTGCTTACCATAAGCGCCAGATTTTCAAACAGGAGAGCATAGGCCTCCTCGCAGATTCTTGTATTTCTACTCCAGCGCCTAGAGACCAGCCAGGTTGAGGCCTGTTGTGCTGGGTGCTGTACAGACATGCACACTATGACTGTCCCAGCCCCAAAGCACTTAGTCTAGCCACATCTGGGGCACCCCCAGGATCCCCCACTTGTGCATGACAAGGAGCCAGGTGTGTGGGGACAGTGAAATTCCTGCCTTCCGTTGAGGCCTGTGGCCACAGCTCGGGTTCGAGCAGGGTTTTCCCTGGGCCTTCTGAAAACGTGGCTCTGGGCATTTGGGGAAGGCTGTGTGGGGCCACAGAGCTGTTCTCCCAGCCCCACGCTGGCTCAGAGGGTGGACATCTTTTGCACAGGGTTTATTCCCTGGGTAATGAGCCAGCGTCCCCAATTCCTTCATTTTTCAGAGTGTCTCTGAAGTCTCAGTTCTGCGACACCTTCTCAGCTCTCTGGTGGAATCAATATGAGAGAGTAGATTTCCCCCCACACTCACCGAGGGAGGGGCAGGGGGTCTTGTGTTCAATTGCTCTGGGCTCCGTGCCAGGCAGGGGGCCCGGACACAGCTCCGGGCACAGACTGCAGAGAAGGGGAGGGTGAGACCCATTCCCATCCCTGACAGCTGGGAGCCGGTCACCCTGCCGATGCTCCAGGAGAGCCTGGACTGGAAGAGGGGGATTAGTTAGCCCCGTTTATCCTCTTAACAGGAACGGAGATCCCTGTAACTCGGTGGGATTTGGGGAGGACATTGTTAGGACTGTGTGTGGTTTTAACTAATATCCAGACGTGCAAGGGCACGCGCATTCCCGCGATCTAAATAAATACCTGGCCTGTGGCTGCTCCGATGCTGCTGGCTCTCCGATCCCCTCCTGTGGAGCAGCCCTGCGGGCATTCATGGCTTCTCTTTCAGGTTGTCTGGCTCCCTTCAGGAATCCATTAGTATGGGGCACAGTTGCAGGTCTGGTCATCCTCGTCATTGGTTTGGGGGCAGCTCTGGCAGGTGAGTTCCCAGCCCGTCTGGCCGCCTCTGTGCTTCCCATTCAATTGCACGTTCTCCCCTCCCAGCCTCTCTGACCTCAGCACTGGGTTCAGGAAGGACTCACATGAGATGTCTTTCCAATTCCTTCCCCCACCCGGCCCCAGTGCCCAGCACTCCCTCTGTACAGCTCAGACACACACACACACCTGGAGCAATGGAGGGAACTTCATTCCCACCACAGGATCTCTAGCTCATCCGCACACTGTTCCTCTGAGGATACAGGACACGGCTTGCAAGTACTACAGTGTTTTTGAGGCCGGCTTGATTAGGCAGTGGACACGGAGGGGGGGGCTCTCACTGCAGCGCAGCTGGTAAATAAACCTGTCCGTCAAGTTGGAATGCAGATGGGAGAGTTTCCACCTCGGCTATTAACCGCTCTAGTTGGCACACGCCGTAGATGCTGTTCATGCTGCTAAATGTGACCCTTATTATAGATTCACCGCACACAGGCCTTCGTTTCAGTCGCTGCCACGTTCCCCCGGCTCCCTCCGCTGGAGCCTGGCAAGAACAGCAGCTCAAATAACTCCCTCAATGTTAAAAACCGAGGCAGTGCAGAGCGGAGGCTGCTCGTAGCACTCTGGGCATCCAGACCACCTTAACTCTGCCCCCCCCACCCCCCGTAGACACTCCTTGAAAATCCAGCTGCGCTCTCCATCCGTGCCAAGCCCAGGAAACAGGCTGCTGCCCTCTCTAGCCTAATGTGGTGTGGTGCCTGATGGAGGCTCATGCATGGTTAGTGTTCAGTATCGTTACCGTCTAGATTGGACACAGTGCCGCGCAGGGGCGATCAGACCCCCGCTCCTCATGAAGGACCCGTTCTGTTCCGGCACAGAGGGCTTGGCATGGCAGCTACCCAGCCCCTCACATGCTGGGGCCCTCGGGCTCTCTGAGGCAGCCGACTCTCCCTGTGTCACTAAGCCCAGTTGCAGGGAGTCTAAATATCCAACCTCCCCCTGCCCGGGACATCCCCCTGGAAAGCAGCACTGTCCATGTGAGACCCCTGCTCCTCTGCTTGGGCTCAGACACACACACAGGATTAGTGTGCTATGCAAAGTGGGGTTTAGTTCCCTACTCGGCATGTGACTGGAGCAGGCCAGTGTCACTACAAGGGGGCAGAGTTAAGGTGATCTAGGGAGGGGAGTAACCTGAACTCTGCAGTGCTTGGTTCCTGATGTCTCTAATAGCCCTGCCATGCTTGCTGGGCTCTTGTTGGCAAGCCAGGGAATTAAATAACATGATCAGGGTCCTTGGGCTGAGCACCGTGACCCTATCCCAGCTCCTATGGAAGTCAATGCAGAGCGTCTAACAGGGAGCTGTCTCAGGGTGCCCCCTTGTGGCCTAACATGGCCCTGCAGGTGTGCTGCCTCCAGCTCCCTCTATATGCATCCGAAGAAGTGGGTTGTAGCCCACGAAAGCTTATGCTCTAATAAATTTGTTAGTCTCTAAGGTGCCACAAGTACTCCTGTTCTTTTTGCGGATACAGACTAACACGACTGCTACTCTGAAACAGCTCCCTCTTGTGTGTCTTGTACCAAGTACCTTAAATTAAGATTCCTCCCCTTTTCTGCTGTCTCATTAAGTCTTGTGCAGCAAATCAAACTGCTCCTTCGCCCCTCAAGTCTAACTTCTGTTCCCCCACCCAGCCCTCCTGGGGCCTGTGTGATACTTTGGGTAGATTCCTCTCCTCGGATCAGGAGTCTCTGAGCCTCTTTCTGGGGTCTGTGCTGCTTGTTCAGGCCGGCTGCGGCCCTCCCTCGGCTTCTCCAAGCTGGCCCCTTCCAACTCTCCTTCCCTGCGGAGATCCGCAGACAACCAGCCCTCCTCTCCCTCGGAGGTTCTCCGCTGCCTCTCCGGGAACTTCTCTTATCGCCAGGCCTGGACTGGGTTTTAACCCGTGACCGCCTGTCCTGGGCCCTCAGTAATTTCCCCAGCTGGGGAGGAGGGTGGAATGAGTGACAGGTAGGGCTGGCCCCATTGCCATTGGAGGCCGGTTACGCTGTGACAGGCAGGACCGGCCCCAATGTAACTTCTGTTACTCACCCCATTCAAACCACTGCACCAGGCCCCTTCCAAGCCCGCCCTGGCGCTGCTCATATGGATTAGGGAGGTGGAGAGTCCCAGTTCTGCGCAGCAGCCAGGTGAGGGTCAGGCCTGAGGTTAAAACATTGGCACGGGCATTGGGATTCCTGGGTTCTGTTCCCAGATCTGCCCCTGGGTGACAGGACAGAATGCTTCCCTGCTCTGTGCCTCAGTTTCCCCTTAGTAAAATGGGGTTAATTGCACTTCCACACCTCACAGGGCGGGGGGAAATGTGAGACTAAAATCAACCCATGCTTGTGGGGAACTCGGGTGCTGCTATGGTGGGTGTGCATGCTGAAAGGCCTATAAATAGGAAGCGTGAGCCAGGAGTTCGTGCCTCTGTCTAGGCATCTACGCTACACCCATCACAGGGATGCCTGAGCTTGGCCTATACAAGTGACGGCAGCACCTGTGTGTGTCCGGATGCGGCCGTCTGGGGCAAACTGCTGCAGAGCCAGACCCAGCATAACTGCTGGATTTGTGTGCCAAGTGCCTGGAGATTGTGCCCCGGCCCGTCACTGCCCTGGCCAGATATGTTTCACAACACAGAAGCAGCTTCCCATGGCTGAGGTGCTGGTGCCACCCTGTGGCCGAGGTGCTCAAGTTCCCGCCTCTGAGTCCAGTTAGTGCCATGGGCTGAGCGCGCCCCGGAAATTCATCTTACAAAAGCGCCGTAACCGACACCTGTGTGAGCCCCCCGGACTCGGGAGGGGTGCGGTGTGAGCGAAGGACTGGCCAGGACTCCTGGGTTCGAATCGCAACTCAGCCACTGACTCCCTGTGACCTGGAGCCAGCCCCTCCCCTTCTGTATTGCCAGGCCCCCGGGATAAAGTGAGAGGATGGTACTGACTCAAGTGAATTCCCTGTTGCTCAGTGAACTCTCTGAGCGCTGTCTGGCCATCTCCCCTCTCCGCTCCAGGGGTGGCAGGCAACTCCCTTTCTTACAGAGGGGGTCGCATGGGGCTAGGACTGCAGGGTGGGGGGATCAGAACCCAGGAGTCCTGCCTGCCAGTCTGTACGCAGGGGTAGTGCCTGTCCCCACTATACCCATCAGGGCGGGGGGCGGGATCTATCTCAGGCTCAGAGTCACTGGCTCTGGTGTGGGGTCCCGGCTCTACTCAGGCTGGGGGTTTCTTTGCCTGGGGGGCAGGGAAGGAAACAGGGACAGACTCGCCCTCTTACTCTCTCCCCTCCAGTGGTAACATCTAAGCCACATGTGGCTGATCTGGGGGTACGAGGGGAGACTGCCTGCCCCAATGGTTGGGTCGTGTTCCAAGGGAAATGCTACTATTTCTCAGAGGCTGAAGGGAACTGGACCTACAGCTGGAGCAACTGCTCCTCCCTCGGCGCCTCCCTGGCTGGGATCGACACCCAGCAGGACATGGTGAGTCCGTGGAGCAGTAATGGGCCGGGCGTGGCCTGGTGGCTGGTGCTGGAACAGTGCCAGGGCTCAGACCCTGGGGGTGGGGTGGGAGCTGGCATGACGGGAGGCCAGGCTGGGTCCCAGCCCGGTGCCGATCTAACCGTCCCTGTCCCAGGCAGACGTCCCGCTTCCGTGGGCACAGCCGGCTCTGCTCCAGCTCCCTCCTCGCGGCGGGCTGCCCGTCTGCCTCCATTCCCCAAACTCAGCTCCTCCCCCACCTCCGACAGTGAGACGCTGCCAGGCTGCAGCCTGACACCTGCCTTGGCGAACCAGGGCTTACCTCTGGGCACCACGCCCCAGGGGCTGCTGGGAAGGGCTGGGCAGCTCAGCGATTCCCCGAGGGGGTTCAGCGTTTCCAACCGCGCCTGTTCTGAGGGCGTCCGGCTTCCAGACTCTCAGCAGCAACTCGTGAGACTCAACCCATGTCAGACATGGCTTCCCTGTCTCCCTCCCCGCCCCCGGTTCCCTGTCCTTTGAGATCTCCTCCCCATCTCATCCCCTCCAGCCGTGGCTACTGCAGTCCCTTCCCCTCCACTCTCCCCGGTTCTGTCCTCTGAGATCTCCTCCCTATCCACGCTCTCTGGCCTGAGCTGTCACAGCTCCCTGCCCTACTGATTCCCTGAGCCCCAGCCCTGCTGCTTTCCTCTGGGCCTCTCATCCCTGGAGTGCCCGGCGTCCTGTGGCTCTTAGGCTGGGACCTGTTCTATGTGTCCAGGTCTTTCTGACGTGACGTGGGAGCCCAAGTGAGACCCTCCCTAAGGGGGCTGATTATCACGGGGGGCTGAGCACCTGCCCTCTGACAGGGTCCCCAGATCATGTCACACTAGAATAATCTCTTGCAAGCCACGTGCTGTCTGCAGCTGGTGGTAGACACTGCATGGAACACATTTGCTGGATTGGGGGATGGGGCTACCCCTGCCCTGTCTATCAGCCCGTAGACTCAAACCTGTCTCGCTGGGAGCTCCATCAGCCATGTCATGTACGGTTTCCTGCTGCTCTTGTTAAAGGACTTCATGCTGCGCTACAGAAGCCCCCGTGATCACTGGTTCGGTCTCTGGAGGGAGCGGGACCTCCGGCCCTGGAGATGGGTGAACGGCACCGAATTCAACAACTGGTGAGTTCTCACCTCTCCCTGAGTATTTGGTCGTGGGCGCCTGACGTCCTGGACTCTCACCGAGCCAGGACTCCTCGCCGACAAGGGAAACCTGAGTCTTGTATGACAAAGTGACATCAATGTGCTCCCCATGTCTGCGTCTGTCCACAGCACTACCTCCTGTGGGAAGCATAGGGGAGCGATGGGGGATCTGGGCTGTCCGATCCCAGGCCTGCATGGTGCTGATTCCTCTCTGCCTTGAGAGATCTCCGCTCCTGCCATGGGGCTGGGAGGGGTTGGTTCCCTCTGCACCGGTCTCCTGCCATGGGTCTTAGCCGCTTTTGCGGGGCAGGCAGAGCCCTCCTCCCTAGCCGGGGGGGGAGCTAATCCATTACAGCTGCTCTGATTCTACCCACCAGGAGTCAGGAACAAGTTAGACGTGGGTCCGTGGTGGGAGGGCTGCTCTGATCTTCCCCCAACCCAAAGTGCAGGTGAATAATCACCTTGTGATTGAAGGAGCCTCCCCTTAGAGCCAGCATGGCCCAGTGGCTAGAGCAGGGGACAGGGAATAGCGAGACCTGGGGTCTGATCCCAGCTTTGTCACTAACTGCTGTGCTGCCTGGGACAGGTCCCTTCATCTCTGTGCCTCCACTTCCCCATCTGTGGTATGGGGGTAATCCCGGTTACCTCCCTTGCCACGCGGTGTGACTGTCTGTGGGTTTCTATGTGCTGTGACCCTGCTGTGTGACTGGGAACCCTCTGCCCCCAGTCCCCGTTGCTGACAATCCCTTTGCTCCTTCCCTGCAGGTTTCACATCGGAGGGGGAGGGGAGTGCGCGTATCTGAAGGAAACAAAAGCCATCAGCTCCTCGCGGTGCTCGATGGAGAGACACTGGATCTGCAGCAAACCCCACGTGTGTGCAAAGGTTTAGCACGGCGCTGGGCAGGGGGCTGAAGGCTCAGCCTGGAAGAGACAGGACATTGTTGATGCTGACGGGCTCGGACATTTTTCTGGCTAATGAGAGCGTTCACAGCTATGCCAGTGAGGACTAAACCAAAAAGCATCTGAGATGGGTCAGACCCTCCTGCTTCAGGGCATGAGCTCCCTGTCCTTGGGAGTAAACTTTCCCCTGTGGGCGAGTGATCTCGTAACTGGCCATTGGGTGTCCTGCCCTTTGCTCTGTGCTTCAGACAGGAGACTGGACTGGATGAACTGGGGATTCCTGAGCCAGCTGGTTCTCACCTGAGGCCTCTTCCTCTGGTACGTCTGGACACTAGGACCGGCAAATAAGGACCCAGCCCTGGGCCACCTTTCGGGGAGCGGTTTTGATCTCATCTTCCTGTTGAGCCGCTCCAAAGCCACAGACCTGCCACCAGCCATCACTTCCACAACCAGCACTTCCAGCTATAATAAAGCCGCCTGGTGTGTACACACTACAGCCTTGCTCCCACCAGTGTAAGTGCCCTACCTACTGCACTGACATAACTTCACCTCGACGAGAGACGCAGGGCGTATGTCCGTGTAGTTAGAGCAGCGGTTCTCAACCCATGGGCCGCGTGTGGCCCAGTTAGCACACAGCTGCAGCCCAGATCAGCTGTGTGCTAAAGGCTGGCCCGCGTGGCAGGGTCTGGGTTCCTGGCTGCCTGGTGCAGTGGGGTCCGGGGCTGCCGCCCGGCCCTACAACCTCCGGGGTCGGGGTCTAGGCTGCCACTGCCCTGCCACCCGGCCCCTGCAACCCAGGTAACACATGCGGCCCACAATGATAAATAAGTTGAGAACCACTAAGTTAGCGATGCAGTGCCCATGTAGACACGGAGTTACTTATATCCGCTTTTAGCTTTCATTCTTGTCAATTTCATAGCTCTGGCAGGGAGCCATGAAATTGACAAAGGCTGGTAGCCTCCCTGCTGTGAACCTGTATCTGGCTCCTAGCTAGGGAGGCAAGTGGGAGGGCTCCTGCTCCTAGCCGGGCTGCCAAGAGCCCAGCAGGAACCCCTGTGAGGAGCCTGGCTCTCAGCCCCCCCACGCTGCCCCTCTTACGGCGGGGGAAGTGCTCCTGTTGAGGACACACACCACCCACAGAAGGAGGAGAGTGGAGGTGTTTCTGTGATGCCAGCATAACCCAGGCCTGCTCGCTGTGGCGCTCTGCACCCTTCAAGTGGTGGCTAGGTCAGCCAGGGTTGACGAGCCTGCTACAGCCGTAGCTAAGAGCGCTGTGTCTTTTAGCTCACGCATTCAGCTCAAGCGCTTACAGCCGCTGACAGCGTTACACTAGGCCAGAAGCAGCATCCGTGCACCAGTGCTCTGGCCTGCGGTAGGCGCTGACGGACGGGATGTGCCTTGTTCTTCAGCCAGGGGCCAACATAGGTCGACTTACGTTTGTAGTGCAGATGTGCCCTTAGTCTCTCTCAGGCCTAGGAATGTTTTGCAGGGCAGCAATCCCTGCTCAAGAATGACCCGAGACGATACCATGGGTCATACCAGCCCCTCCACTGCTGAGGGGAGGGGGGAGATGTATCCTAGTTTTCCAATTGATCTAGCTGAACTAGAGCCTAAGTTACTGGGCTCAGCGCAGGAACCACTGGGTGAGTTTCTCTGGGCTGTGTTCTGCAGGTCAGGCCAGATGGTCATAATGTTCCTTGTGACCTCGAAACCTCAGACATTCCATTTTGGGAAGAACGGGAAGCTGAGAGGTGGTTCTGGATAACCATGCAACCGCTTGATTTCCTACCTCTGCACGTTACTAGCTGCTGCAGAAAGCAGGTCTCGTCTCATGCTGCTGACAATCTGAGACCAACCCGAAGTGCACCGAGTGGCCCGGAGGACGGTTCCGTCTTGGGAGCGTTATTTTTATTTATACGGGATTGAAGGGCTCGAGCGCGCCTACCAGCGCGGGCTGCACAGCGGTGAGCTTCCAGGGGAGAGTGGCAGGAAGCGGGTGACGCTGGCATGCCAGGAGAACGAAGGCAGGAATTGCAGAAAGGAAGCCGGGCACGAGGTACAAAGGGCCAAGCGAGGGTTGATCCAGCAGCCATGAATGGACTAGTTAAGGACGGGGCATTAGCCTCTGAGATCTGATGCAGCGAGTGAATGCAGTGCGTTCTCCCTGCTCCCCCTCCGAGCTATCTGTGTGTCTCCAAAGGGACAGTGAGAAGGCAGCAGAGAGTCCAGTGAATGGATGAGTGTAAAGAACATACCTGACGGTTACACAGTGGCACAGACAGCAAGAGGGATGTTAACAGTGAATGGTTACGCCCCCTATGGGGAGACAACTTGGTAGCAACTTCCAAATAAGTAGCAAAGCGGAGGCGTCTTTGCCTCTAGCAGAGGCATAGCAAGCGCCCTCCGACCGGAGGGGGCCCCGCAAGGAAGGGGGCCCCTAAAAGTGGCAAAATAAATACTGCATTCCAGTTTCTGCATTGTAAGGGGCCCCGCCCGGACATATGTTCGGAGGGGGCCACCGTTCAGAGGGGGCCACGTTCTTTGTTGCTACGGCCCTGGTCTCTAGTTTCAGCGGGGAAGCCGTGTTAGTCTGTTTCAGCAAAAACAACGAGGAGTCCAGTGGCACCTTAAAGACTAACAAATTTATTTGGGCATCAGCTTTCGTGGGGGTGGAACCCACTTCGTCACGAGTCTCACGTACAACTTGGAGCGTCCTTCGGACAGACCCCTTCTCGCCTGCACTATGTCTGCTGTGACCGCCAGACTTTCCCGGAAAGCCAGAATCATTCCAGGCACCGACTGCTGCAGGTGCAAACTCTCCAGACGTGGTATCTGTTTATACCCATCATAAACACTGTCATTGAGTGTTGCATAGAGACAGGCTCGCTTTGTCTCGACTGTCTTACTGCTGAGCCACGGACTCCTCTTCCGTTTGTTTCTAAATCTTTGTAAACTGTGATTTACTTAATTATGCTATTTATCACTGAGCCATATTTTTTTTTGGACGCTCTTTTTTGCACAGTATTTATACTATGCTGTAAATGAAGTATTCTCATTGGAGGTGGACTTGTAGTGCAAGGTAACTTAATGGTAGTGTTAAGATTAATGATGCCTGAATTGTAGTTTTATGCTGAGAGGTGCTGATGGCTGCACAAACCTCATTGAGACTGACGGGCATGAATGCACCTTTCAATTAACATAACTGTCAGAATAAGGTACAGGGAAACCCCGGTATAACGCGCCCCGCGATAACGCGAATTCGGATGTAACGCGGGCAAAAGGTGGCCCCGGCTGCCCCAAGCCAAAAAAAAAAAGAGGGGGGGGGGGCCGGAGCGCCGCGGAAGCGCGAAAAAGAAAAAAAGCGGCCGAAGCGCCCAGGGGCAGTAGTCAACTGGGGGCCCCCCGTGCCTCCCTGACCATGTCCCCAGCTGAAGGTGGGGAGGGGGCAGGGAAAGTCCCCAGCGCTCCAACCCATCCCCGGCAGAAGCACAGGGGGTGGCGGGGGAAGCCCCAGCACTGGGACCCCCCCCCCACTGCGGTCCCAGGAGGCAGCCTCACAGCTTGGGGGTTTGGGGGGCACTCACTCCCCACTGCGGCCTCAGGCTGTGATGGGGGGGACTGGGCATCTCCCGTCTTGGGGTCACAGTGGGGGGGGGGGGGGGGAAAAAAGGGGGGCAAAGGGGTGGGGGGGCGGAGGGGGGGGGGTGGAATGGGGGGACCCTGAGTGGCACCCCAGGGAAGGAGCAGAAAGAGGTGGAACCGTGGGCGGGGAGGAGCCCGCAGCCCTGGAGCTCTCCGCCCCGGCAGGCACGGGGACGCGGCTTCTCTCCAAGCTGGAGAGGAGCCGCGGCCCCGCACCTGCTCGGGACAGAGAACAACAGGGCTGCGGGCACCAGTGCTCCCTGTCCCCGGCAGGCGCGGGGCCGCAGCTTCTCTCCGCTGCTGGGCACTAGGGGCACTAGGCGGCGCACATCAATGCACCGCCTTGGGGACCACTGACGGGCTTGAATCCCCGCTATACCGCGACCCCGCATTTAGCGTGATGTAATTTTTTGGACCCCAAACATCACGGTATAGCGGGGTTTCACTGTAATTGCAAGCCCCCTGCCCACACACAGGGTACGTGAGCCTATATGAGACTTTCGTACTGAATGGGTGACAGGGTTTTGCCAATTTTTGGAGGGGTGAGTGCAGAACACAGAGAACTACAGAGCTACCCAGACAGCTGGAAGGAACAGCTGAACGCACGGCGTCTGAGCCTGGGGTGAGATTTTTGGGGTCAGAGGTGCGGGCTGAAAAATGTGTTTTTGGTGCTGTGACCAAAATAAGCTGTTTCCTATTACCTGTTTTCTTCTGGGTTGAGGGAAACGGGTCCTTTGTATGGTCTTCGTAAAGAAACAAACCTGCCTCAAATAAATAGTGGCTTCTCACCAATGTCTCCTAACTGAGACAATCTACTAGACTCTAAACTTTTGGTGAGCTGCACAGATCAAAATGGAGAAAAGTATTTAGTCAAGACCACACACACAGGCCTGCACGCACGCCAGCCTTTGTCTTGTTGAGGTGAGTGAAGATAGAATTTAGGATTGGGTTACCAGCTTCTTAAATTTAGGAGTGAGTAGAGTGGGTTAAGCCAACCAGTGGAGAAACCAGTACGCCTGTTTCCTAGTGTTGCACAACCTTGGGATGTTGGGGGGGCATAAGAACGGCCATACTGGGTCAGACCAAAGGTCCATCTAGCCCAGTATCCTGTCTTCCGACAGTGGCCGATGCCAGGTGCCCCAGAGGGAATGAACAGAACAGGTAAACACCAAGTGATCCATCCCCTGTCGCCCATTCCCAGCTTCTGGCAAACAGAGGCTAGGGACACCATCCCTGCCCATCCTGGCTAATAGCCATTGATGGGCCTATCCTCCATGAACTTATCTAGTTCTTTTTTGAACTAACTGCCACACCGCCTGGCTTGAAGTGGTTTCCATCGTATACCGGGTTTATGGTTTGGTTCAGTGGCTCTAAGCCCCTCACTGTACAAATTGTTCCAGCCGCCCTGGCCTGGCTGGGGGGGCAGTTGCTTTCTTTTTCACACCCTCAGCTCAGTAACCTGGAGTTCGCCCTCTTTCCTTCTCATCTGAACCCAGCGGTGGGCCCCTGCTCTCCCCCCTATGACTGGGCCACCTGGAGGTGAGTTAGGTGCCCCAGTCTTCCTGCCTTTCCACTGGGGTTTGTGCTTCTCAAAATCCCACCCCAACCCCAGACTTAGTAGTCGCCAAAGCAAGGATCGACGTTCCATGGACTCAACTGGTACGGAGGTTCTCCAGCCGCCCCCGCGTGGCCCACGGACCTGAGCCAAACTCGGCCGGGGAGCGCTCTCCCCACAGCTGGTGGAAATATGGTAAACATGTTATGGAAACTTACAAGGACCAAACCAAAATGTGTTTGGATTTTCCCCTTTGTTCTCTCTTTTTCCCTCCCTTCCTCCCCCCCCCCGGCCCTTTTTCAGTGGCAAAAGCAAAGGAAGTTGGGGTGGGAGGGAGACCGCAAAACGTTCAGTTTCCAAAACTGGAAAACTTTTTTATTTTTGTCCAAAACAATTTTTTTTTTTTTATTTAAAAAAATATTCTGGTGGAGTTTTGGCCAAGGCTGTGGGCTCTGCTCCAACGGGAGGATTTCCCTGGTGAATGCACCATGACTAGGAGTTATCACAGCCACGTGGTCTAATATCTGGTGCTTTCACTGTTCAGTCCTGTAGATTCAAAGACTAAGAAGGAGAGATCTAGCCAATCAGAGACCGGCTTTGCACACCTCTGCAAAGGCTTTGCACACCTCTGCAAAGGCAGGAGTGTGATGCTGACCTACAGGAAGTGGCTTCTGGCCAGCAAGCCCCACGGTGCCTGAGTGCTGGTGTTTTCACATGGCTTCTGCGAGCCTCTCAGATCAGCCCTTTCTCGCCCACGGCTCTTTCCATTCGCTCAGGGGTCAGTGTTTGAGGCGGGAGCCGGGCTGCCTGGGCCGTCACGTTTCAGCCTGACCTAGAAAGTGCAGCGTTCTGGTTCAAGGCAGGATGTGAGGAAATAGGCCCCACGAACAGCCCCTCTGGTCCCCTTGTGCGCTGCATCGATTACAGCGACTGAATAGCTCCAGGCTCTCAGCTTCCTGTCTGGTGGGGCGGGGTAAAAGGCTCAATCTTTGATTCCTCTCCATCAGCGCGATCATGCTCAGGGGGCCCAGTGCCGTCCTTTCCAGCTTCGTTTGCCATCTATGGCCTAATATTCACCATGGGTTCATCCCCCAGCTCCCTGACGGGCACTTGGAGGGACGGACGTGCCCTTGTCTGGCAGTTGCTGGCGCTCGCTCCTCTCGCTGGGTTTAGCCCACCAGGCAAGGCCTGAGCCATGGTGCTGCGGTGAACACAAGCAGGTACTTGGAGCCACGAGTGAGAATCGTGGGCGTCGCTGGGACCAACGACGAGCAAACCGCCCCTGAGGGGTGCAGCTATCTAGCCTGCAGAGGGACGACCTTCGGGACTCCCCCCAAGCTGGAGATGAAGAGAACTTCTCCCCCAGTGGCTGCCGCACCCACTTCTCGTCGGGGCGAATTGGGGCTCGGCTCCCTGACGGCGGGAGAGCAGAGCTGTAGTGTAGATCCCCCTCCCTGCTCATTTGCGGCTGCACGAGCTGTCACTAGGCCGTCAGCCTTGAACGGGGAGGTCACAAGCCAGGTTCTCCAGAGAGTGCCCGAGTCCTCCCACCTGCCAAGCACCCAGGGGCCTGGCTTCTGCATTTAGGGTCTGGTGCTTTGTCCTCACACTGGCTGTATCCCACTGCGGCGACGGGCCGGCCACGGGAATGAGCCGGGAATCGGCGCCTTTAGGCAGCGGAAGAGCTTTGAGGCTGCGTTTTGCATAGGACACAAGGCCCGTGTTTTGTGCCCCTTGCTAGTGCCCTCGCTAGCTTGCTGTGCGAGTTATGTTTCCTGTGTGGTTTCGAAGTGTGCGGCCAGGGGAGGCGGCCGTTTCCTCTGCACACTGGAGCCCCACAAGCCGAGCAGTCCGAGTCTCACCCCCGTCCCTCGGGGTCGCTCTCTGATTTCCCCGCTCCTTCTCATTTGCTGGGAGACGAAGGCAGCGACTCTGGAGGATGCAGGACGAAGAGGGTTACACGGTATTGAATCTCCGGCCCAAGATGGGAACCGCCAGCCGCCCGTCTGCGGACGGGATCCAAGGTATCGCTCCAAAGTCTCTGCAGGCTCTCTCATCTGTCACAGTAATTCCGGCTTGTGCTTTCAGTGGGGTCTGAGAAAGGATGGATGGGAAGCAGGCAGGGGGCAACTTCATGTTGTGTTTCAGGCTGTGGCCTGGGATGTGGGAGACCTGGGTTCGAATCTTAGCTCTGCTAAGAACTTCTTGTGTGACCCTGGGGACAAATCCCTTCATTGCTCTGGGCCTCAGTTTCCCCATCTGTGACATGGGGATAAAAGCACTGTCCTGCCTCATGAGGGTTGGGAGGACACATACAATAAAGACCGTGAGATGCTTCGATAGTGTGGGAGGCACTTAAAAAGTGTGTTCTAGCTACTGGGATGTTCATATGGGGGTGATGGAGAACGGCAAAGTGGGGGACAGTGTGTGTGTGATGGGCATATCAGAGCAGTGTATCCAGAGCCTCTGTGCTGGAGCAGGTCCGTGCTCAACTCCGGACAGCCATGTGCACGTATGGCGGTTATTGGACAGCACCTTACTCCTGAACCATTCTCACTCTGCTGGTCTCTGCAAGGCAGAGTCCCTGCACTCCCGTCAGAGCCAGGACCTGGAGAGCTTGGCTGTATGTCCTGCGTAGTTTGTATGCAATTAGAATTCTAGCTGAGCCGATGAGCTGAGGGGGGCAGGGATCACTGACGTCTTTGTGCCTCGCCCAGCCCAACGGGGCCCGCTAGGCTCACCTGTAGGTCCTGCCGCAGTAAGAACGGTATTTAATAATGTGAATAACCCAGCAGCCAGTGGGGGGCTATTGCTGTCCATGGTTTGGGCCCCGGGCAGAGTCAGCCTTTACAGAAGGTGACTCTGGGGAAGGGCCTGGTGCTATTTCTGGCTTCACCCTGTCCAGGCCCTGGATCATACGGTGACTAAGTGGAGTGAGGTTCTCGCTGACCTGCAAACGTGGGTCGTAGCAAAAGGACGTTGGCGGTGTTTTGAATGCAATTTGGGCCAAGTCTGACATTCTACTGTCACGACCTAGCAGCAGGGCTAAGAGAGGAGGGGCAGGCTGCACTCATGGTTAATGCACTGGGCTGGGACCCAGGAGATCTGGGTCCAGTTCCTAGTTCTGCCCCAGACTCTGTGACCCTGACCAAGTCCGTGCATCTCTTTGGGCCTTGATGATCTCCCTGTTACTGACAGGGAACCATCTGCCCTTTGTCTGTGAACAGTGAGGTCTCAGCTGGAGTCTCCAGGCGTTACTGTAATATGGATAACAACACATGCAACACCACATCTTGTGTCTCTGTCCTGCCTCTGACTCTGTAGTGACCTGCCTCGGATGCTTAGTGTCCTGTTAGATTTCATCTAATAAACGTTTCTCACCTCCATTTCCTGTCTCGCTTCGTTCTCTCTCTACCAGCTGTGGCGAGATTTTCAAAGTCAACCAGGGCAGTCAGGCTCCTAACGCCCATGGAAACCCCTGGGGAGTTGGGTGCCCACCTCTCATTTGTGTCTCCAACTCTTCCTTCCCTCACCCCCACAGCCTGATGTTCCAATGCTGTAACTAACTCCCCTTCCAGCCGTGCGTCGCAGAAAGCCAGACTGAAACGCCCCATTCCCTGCAGCGGGAGTTCTGTGAACCGGGCTGGCGGTTAGTGTTTGCATGGCGGACAAAGAGGTGGCTGCTTTGGGGAACCAACTCGGGACACCACAAGCGTTGTAGAGGGCAGGTGCTCAGTGGTTTCCCCAAATCAGGGCTCCTTTAAGTGGTCTCAAATTGGGAGGGGAGGGGGAAATCACCAGTTACTTTGAGAAATCTTGGCCAAAATGCAGAGTAAAATTGTCCTGCAGCAGGAGAGCTCCCAGGGGGACAGAAGAGAAGTGAAAAGCAAAATGCTGTGACTGCACCGTATCATGTTGATCAGCAGACTCTAATTGTTTCCTTCTGCTTCCCCTGTTTGGATCCACGTGTTGTCTCCTCTGAGACTGTAATCGCTTCAGGGCAGGAGCCATCTGTTTCTAGAACGTAAGAGCGGCCACACTGGGTAAGACCAAAGGTCCATCTAGCCCAGTATCCTGTCCTCCGACAGTGGCCAATGCCAGGTGCCCCAGAGGGAATAAACAGAACAAGACAATCAACAAGTGATCCATTCTCTGTCGCCCATTCCCAGCTTCTGGCAAACAGAGGCTAGGGACACCATCCCTGCCCAGCCTGGCTAATAGCCATTGATGGACCTGTCCTCCATGAACTTATCTAGTTATTTTTGAACCCTGTTATAGTTTTGGCCTTCACAAGTTAATATCCCAAATTAATTAGGGATTTTAGGTTCCAGCTGATGACACCTCTGGGGCACTTGGCATTGGCCACTGTCGGAAGACAGGATACTGGGCTAGATGGACCTTTGGTCTGACCCAGTGTGGCTGTTCTTATGTTAAGATCTTGGCCCGTGGCTCTGACTGCTGTGACCCACCTCTGCTGAGGAGCGTTTGAGATGGAGAGCAGATGCAGAGCACCTCCTGGCCTCCTTCTTTCACCCGTAATGATGGGTCTATGAAAGGTTATGCTGATGCTTGTCACACAGCCTGGGAGACACTGAGGCTGACTGACAAATCCGAATTCACAGATTCTCCTGCGAACCTGCGTGGGTATAAAATCACCATCGGCGTTTTGGGGGTCTGGAGCGTTGTGGCGACGCTGGCTGTGATCACGCTGAGCATTCTGGGTGAGCGTCTAGATCCTGTTCGTTTTGTGGACGGCCTGTAAACTTCCCCATGTCTCAGCAGCTCATCCCAGAGGCTTTTAATAGATTCCGAGGCCGGAAGGGACCATTATGACCGTCTAGTCTGACCTCCTGGATAACACCGGCCAGAGACCTGCCCCTATCATAATTCCTAGAGCAGGTCTCTTAGAAAAAACATCCAATCTTGATTTATAAAATTGTCAGTGATGGAGAATCCACCACGCCCCTTGGCAGATGGTTCCAGTGGTTAATTACCCTCATTTGCATGCTGGCTGTACAGGGCACGGTCGTAATTCCTGTGCTACAGAAGGGCCAAGCTAAGGCCCATAGATGGGAGGTGATGTGCCCATGGCCAAAGCATGAGTCAGCTACAACACCAGAGCACAAGTGTCCTGACACCCAACTTTCCCTGCTCTAATCCACCCGCCCCCAGAGCCAGGGATAGAACCCCCAACTCCCTGGCCTGGCCCCTCCCAGTGAATTAGTTTTCTCTCTCTTCTCCCCTTGATTTTTCCCATGATCCTCGTTCTTTGGTGCTCATTTTTCACTCTGTTGTTGCCAGGCAAGAACTCTAACCGCAGGTCTCATGGCTGTTTTCAAGGTTCATCTCACGAAGGACTGACAGGAGCAGCGCCCAATGCCCCCGCGAGCCGTGGTGCCCAGTGGGAAGAGGGAAACGGGGCAGAATGCGGCGCCCGTCTGAGCCACCTAGTGTCACGCCTGAGCCAGGCTCTGTGTGCGCCCATCAACAGCAGCTCCCTGGGTAACCCCAGCTCCTCCTTCTCTGGGATTGACCGCTCCATTTAAAGGCCCCTGGAGAGAGACTTTCAAGCAGTGGTTGAGTGACACCTACTAGCTGAGTGCATGGTACCATGTAATAGCGTTAGTGAGGGCGGGTGCCAGTGGTGTGCCCGATCATGTGTAACAGGGTGTGCAAATGCTAATAGCTTCACTGGGGAGAATGAAAAGGGGCTGGTCATCCCTGGTGTAATTCCACTGTCCTCAAGGGAGTTCTGCTAGTACTCCGCTCCCAGCTGAGATCAGGGCCCTGTTGTGCTGGGTGCTGCACGGACACACAGGGAGAGACAGTCCCTGCCCCAGCTGAGATCAGGGCCCCGTTGTGCCAGGCGCTGCACAGACACACAAACAGTCCCTGCCCCAAAGAGTTGGCAATCTACATGGCTCAGGCACCCAGTGAAAGGGGGAACTGAGGCACAGGGATGGGACATGACTTACCTAAGGTCACCCGGGGGTCTGTGGCACAGCCGGGAACAGAACAGAGATTTCCTGAGAGCCAGTCGGTTGTCCAAGCTGCTGCGCCAGGCAGCCTCTCAATGGAAGTACCTAATTCAGCCATTAACGGTGTCTCCTGCTTGTCTCCTCTAGAGGGCGCTGGCTGCAAAATCTGTCCCCCGGACTGGCTGCCACATGGTGCCAAATGCTACTGGTTTTCCACAGAGAGTAAAATCTGGGCCAGGAGCCGCGAGGACTGCTCAGCGAGGAGCGCTCGCATGGTGGTGATCCAGGAGCAGGATGAGATGGTAAAGTGAGAAACAGGCGGTGGCGGGGTGTGTGTGTTAATCTTCACCTGGAAAGATGGGGGGTGTCAATGAATATCCATTTTACGCTGATTTTTAAAATGATAAAATTACCCCAAGGTTCCACTTTATTTTATTGTCTTTGTTTAAAAAAGCAATAACCCAGCGTTGACCTATTTGGGAATGTCCTCGCTCGCTTGTCTGTTTGTCAACTGTTCTATTGGATTATGTCCCTAATGTGTTGCAGAGAAGCTAAATCCGTGACCCTGCAAACACACTTGTGCACACACTTAGTTTTACCCTAGGACTAGTCCCACCGAAATTCCTGTGCCAGATTTTGTGGGTTTCCGATCACATTTTCCTATCCATTTATTTAAAGCGTCTCTCTCCTGTTGCTGGGGAAAGAAGCTCTAAACAGGAAACTGAATAACTGAGATCTACAGGTTGATACAGTGAACCTGACTATACACCAAGTGCTGTCAAATGCCCAATGGAAACGCACTGAAAACCCCCCAGCTTTGAGTTCGTCAGCCTAGGTGTGACTGAGCCCTGGAAAGCCGAGCAGATGAGCTGGGAGTGGCACACTCAGGCTGCACCCAAATGAGATGCTGATTGTGCCGGATATGGCTTGCGAGGGCTCTGGACTCAGCTCCCCTGCAGCGGGGTTGGATGTGCCCATGGGCTGCATGGATTTGGCTCTTTCTTGATTGGAAAGGGAGGAAACCCTCCATGTGATCACTTCCCCACCCCTGGGGGCACTGGCGTGAGCTGACTCAGAGTGGACTGTGCAGATCTCCATACTATGCTTGTCCCCTCTCCCTCGCCGCTTTGAGCAGCGAAATAGTGATCAACTGCTGACATGGAAAGTATCGTCCTTGGTATCTGTCAGTACCATTGAGATGGCTGGGGAAGTTCACACCCCCACAGAGCTGTCCGGAGCGGAGGGCCTGTAAATATTTTCAAACTTGGGGCTGAAGCCTCGAGCCCCGGTGTCTCCTGGGGGGGCTGAAGCCCAGAGCCCCGAATGGAGGAAGGGGACTTGGGGGGGCTCCGGGAAATACTATTTGAGAATTTAACCTGGTGCTCAGGTAGCAATCGAACATCAGGTGCTAGCGTAAACCGCTGGCCATTGTCATTACGTGTCCTCCTCCGTGCTTCATCCATGGAGAATGTGAATGTGTTCCAAATCCGCTTGCAAAGCAGCTGGGAGTCCCAGCGGGTTCTCTCCCACAAGTGCCTCTCTCCTACTTACAGGAGTTCCTGGGGAACAGCATTCAAGAGAAGTACCTCGTCTGGACTGGCCTCAGTGCGAACGTGACCGGGAGGAAATGGACCTGGGTGGATGGATCCTTGTTAAATCAGACGCTGTGAGTTGCTTTTCTGGATGGTTGCTGAGTTATGTGAGGCAGGGGGCGGGCGTCGCCTTATTATTTGAGGCCAAGACTTTCAGAAGTGATGAGTGATTTTGGGGGCCCAGCTGAGGCAGCCTAAACGGCCCAGTTGCCGGTAGGTGCTGAGCACCCTCCGTCTGATAAACAGGGGTCTGATGTTGGGGCCCCAAAATCATTCAACCCGTTTTTGAAACTCTAGGGCACAATTTTCAAAAGCATCCAAGTGACTTGGGCACTTAGTGTCATTGACCATCAATGGGACGTAGGCTCCTAAATCACTTGGGCACCATTTGAAGATGCTACACCTTGGCCCTAACTCTTAGGAAGGTTGAGATGCAGCATCCCAGGGAAGAGCTTTGAGTGACCCGCCCCTCCCCCCCCCAGCCGCCATTCTCAGTCAGAAGATGCTGGAACGGGGAGATCCACCCCATGAGAATGTGCCAGGGCTCCATGAGGTTTGTCTTTGTGATTTCCAGATCCTTTGTGCTCCAGTTACAATTAGCGACAAGGTTTCACCAACACCAGACTGGGTCTAGACACACAGAACAGCTCTGCTGTCAGTGACCTGCATTAACAAGACACCTTGAGTGCCATGAGGGCAACCAATGACTCTTCCCTTGGTCCGGCAGGTTCCCCGTGAAAGGATCTGCTGAAGAGAACAGCTGTGGGGTGATCAAAGGGAGTCAGATCCAGTCGGAAACCTGCAGCGGTGAATACAGATGGATTTGCCAGAAGGACGCCATCCAAATAGACAGCGGAACTAGCGATCTGTAGAGCGCTGCCAATCTGCAGAGATCCGCTTTATATCCATGCATTATTTTTGCAGATCGGATGCAGATATAAATTTTGTATCTGTGCAGGGCTGTGGCAATCTACAGTTGTAGAGCCGAGAGGTAACAACCCCTAGCTCTAATGTGCAGCGCTGAGATTTTTAAAGGGGCCTGTATTTTATTTTCTATTAAGTGCTCAGCTGGAACATAGGATCCCAAACCTGCAAAGACTGACACGTGTGCTTCACTTTAATCACCTACGTAGCCCTCTTTGCAGGAACCAGACAATGACTCAGGCCCAGACCGTCAAAGCTAGTTAGGTGCCTGGCTCCCAGTAGGAGTTAAGCACTTAAATACCTCTTGAGGAGATAGAAGGGTCTGGGCCCTTCTGCCTCAGTTTCCCCCTGCTGGCCCCTTGATGCTGCTTCCAGGCTGGGGCACTCAGGGTCTTCAGACTCTGGGGAGAGGCAGCTTCTGAGCATGGCCAGCTCTGCTCTGTGCTGTCAAGGGAGGGCTCAAACTTCAGAGCCAAAACCTTTGCCTTCTCCCATGTCTCTGCCACCCCCCTGCTGCTCACCCCACCGGGCTGCTGGCCAAGGGGGGAGATGGAAGCAGCAGCCATAAAGGAGTCTGGGGCCCTGCAGTTATATCCCCTCCTTGATAGGTTGTTTAAAGCCGAAAAGGAGGGGACTGAACTGGTGGGGCCTGAGCGCCATTAGCCCTTAGAGAAGCCACTGTCCCAGTGAGACGTGGACGGGCCCAGGTCCCCAGAGGCTGCTCTACACACACGCCTTGTCTATATGGGCCCATGTGACCCCACTAGGCAGTTGTAGATGTAAGCAGAGTCAGGATGAGCTCTACCCTGACATCTGGTGGTGAATTGTGGCGAGTTGTGGAAAAGAACTGCAGGGGCTGATATTATTTGCATAGGCACACCCACCCCGCCTAGCATGAGCCCACAGCAGCCCAAATGGTCACTTGGGCTGCTGTGGGATCCCCAGTTTCTCTGTTATTGGGGCAGGAAGAATAAAGTCTTGTTACCCTGATTATGTGGATCAAGGACAGTGGAACTGTTTTATGACAGAGGGACTCGCCATCAACTAAGTAGCACTCGCTAGACAGGGGACATGGTTCCAAAACCCAGTGAATGGAGAGAGGCTGGGGATAGATAGTTGTACTTGATGGTATGGGTCCCTTTTGAAGGTGTGAAACACCAATTGCATTTTTTCATCTCTCTACTGTGGAATATCAGAGCTAATTTTGATTTCATTAGGAGTCTGGTTACAGACTGCTGAGCTGAATTCACTTTGGGCTAATGGTGCACCGGCAGTGATTACACTGGTACAATTTCCCTGATCGTTGTCTGGACATGCTTAATCTGGCTTAAGAGCAGTCTTTTGCAGGTTAGTTTAAACCTGCTTCCAGGAAATATCTGCTAAACCAAAAACAAACCCTGCCATTCAAAGTAAGAGCCAGCCAGCCAGTCAGGGGTTTGTTCTGGGCCCCAGGTTTCACCAGACCAGTTCCACTTATCCCAGCACAACTTTCCATGTAGACAGAGCCTGCCCCCAGGGAGAGTCTTGTCTCAACCCATCAGCCAAAGGCTGGCCTGAGCCTGAAGCAGGGGATGGGAGGAACACTTAAGTTGCTTCAGGGCAAGTGACTGACAGAAGGGGGGTACAGGGGGGAAAAGGCTGAATGGGGAAAGGAGGAAGAGGAGGCTGAGACACGGATTGGAGATCGAGGAGACTGAGGAAGGCTGGTCTTGCTGTTAATGCACTGGGCTGGGACTCAGGTGATCTGTCTTCAATTCCCCATTCTGCCACAGACTCCCTGTCACTGCCTCTCACTGTGCCTCAGTTTCCCTATCTGTGGAATAGGGACAGTTTGCCTGGTTAGACCGTGAGCTCTGCAGAGCAGGGGCTGGGTGTGTCTGCACTGGAGCTGGAAGGTGTAATTTCTGGCTGGAGCAGACATACCCACACTAGCTGCAATTGAGCTGCCATGCTAAAATAGTGTAGCTGTGGTAGCAGGAGGGACCATCCAACTCAAGTACCTATCCAGGGTTTTGGCTGGACTGTACTCTGGGCAGTTAGCCCCTCCCACCACCAGGGCTACACTCTCTATTTTTAGCGCTCAAGAGTGGGTATGTCTCCTCAAGCTGGCAGTTACATCTTCCAGCTCCAGTGTGGATGTATCCAGTGTGTGTCTGTGCAGCGCCTTGCACAATGGGGCCCTGAGCTCAGCTGGGGCAGGGTCTGTCTCTCGCTGTGTGTCTGGGCAGCGCCCGGCACAATGGGGCCCTGAGCTCAGCTGGGGCAGGGACTGTCTCTCGCTGTGTGTCTGTGCAGCGCCCAGCACAACGGGGCCCTGATCTCAGCTGGGGCAGGGACTGTCTCTCACTGTGGGTGGGAGCTAAGCCTTCTCTATGGGCCATTACTTAGATTGTGGGGTTTTTGGGTAGAGATCATCTTCATAGTCTGTGTTTGTGCAGCACCTAGCACAGTGGGGTGCTGGCCCACGGCTGGGATTCCTAGGTGCTACCACAATACAGATAA